GTTCCAAAGAAAATTCTCAAATGTTTACTGACAGATAATTTAGTAAAATTTTTCTAGTGGCCTTGGGCGAGTTTTACCTTAATTTGTTATTAAAAAAATTAAAATTACTAACTACAGCCGAAATGTAGTCGTTGGAAATACATCAAAGATGACGATTGAACGGTGAAAATCGCCTTAATGAGTCACAAAATCTGAAAACTTAGGAACACAATACAATATAATAGATTATTTATTATTTCAACTGCGAATATTTAACTAATTATATACATATTTTCGCTTAAATTAATGAAACGAATGTGTTGCTGTCCACCCGTGAATTTGTGTGAGTCGTGAGTTTCCAGGCAAACTTAAAGGGGCTGTGTCACGGCAGTCCAGTTCATTTTGTTTAATTTTGCCAATTACTCGTCTTCAATCGCTATGGAACTTAAAGTAAGCAAAGAAGTACATGTAAATGACAAAATCAGAGATCCGAGACAAACAAATATGTCTCCTGAGCATTATTTTTGAAGTTGCAAGCAGCAGGGATCAACTTTGCAAAACCGTTAGGCTGAACCGTTTTCAAAAACCCTAATTCCATTCCTTTTAATCTTCTTCAGTTTTGCCCGTGGCAGTTTTTTCCGTGACATCTGTTGTTTCTGTTATGTTATTTTAAAGTTTTAAGCGGTTATTTTTTTATGTTTCTTTTAATTTTGGCTGAATTTCGTGACACAGCTCCTTCAAGGCCATAAAAACTTATAATGTTGCGTAAAATTATATTTCGGCTATTAACTTGATGTAAAACTGATTTGTTTGACTCTTGGACTGTCAAATTATTTTTCGCTAAAATCAGTTAGCCTTCCCCTTTAAAAGTCACATGAATGTGCCACAAAGTTGACTGATTTGTGGATTACAAGTTTATTGTTTGATTTAAATCATAAATTTTTTAAATGGAGATTCGCTTTTAGCCCTGGCCAAATCTATATGTTACTGTGCATTTTGAAAGGTTTACAGCGGAGTTCTCGCACGCGCGAAGCGGGCGTCAGCGGAGCACCATGGGTAAGTGAAGCTACCCATCCCAGAAAATTTGGTAATCACGTGACCGTACACCGACCACCTCAGACGGTCCGTCCGCTCCACAGGCACACCAATGTAAAATAATTCAATCAAAATGGCAACCTAAATACAACTCGAGGTTGTTTTGGCGGGAAATCGCATAGCCACCCGCGTCACAACTAAAGAGTAAATAAAGACGAAAACGGAAAGCGGAAATTGTTTCTGTATCCTTGTTGTCTAAAGTATTAAGCTTAGGTTAATTGTCATGCCAATAAATTTGGAATATAGACCAATAGAAAGACAGAGAAAAAGTACCCTGAGTCAGGAGCCCATGGGCTCCTGCCTGAGTATCAGGCCTTCCTAAGGGGCTACGGGAGAGGAGATTTTAAATGGGGGAAGGGGGACTTATTTATTTCACGCCCATTTGAGAGGGGGCGGGGATGGTTTAATAGAGAAGGAGGGCTTATTTAATTTAGAAACGACGAGAATAACGAAAGAACTAGAATACAAAGTGAAAAAGCTCAAGTACAAGAAGGTTGGAGGTCATGCAGTCGAGGATCAAAAACAAATCCGCACTTCCAATTGGTAAATAAACCATCTCGGATCAGTCCACAAGAAGTTTTACAGTCGTGATTGATTAATACAGTCTATCATTTCTTAGTGAAGAATAATTAGCAGTGGGGAGGGGGGGGGGGCGCTTAATAGAGAGGGGGGCTTATTAACTTTCTTCCCCTAAAAATGGGGGCTTATTAGAGGAAGGGGGCTTATTTGAGAGGTGGGGGGTGGGGGGCTTAACAGAGGATTTACGGTATGTGTAACGAACAAATAGGCCGACAAAATTTCTATCCCTATATCAAGTTATTTTCCATTGTTCGCCGTTCAAGGCGAAAAAAACAAACAAACAAACATGTTTTAAAGGGTGCAACAGAAAACTCTACAGGAGAAGAAGAAGATTATGTTTTAAAAGTAAACATTAGTTCTTTAAGGTGAAACGTTATGATGGTATGGGAGACATCGGTGAATGCTTCTTGAAACAAAGCATCAAACATTTATAGGAAAAAAATAAAACATTACGTATGTATTTTAGTCCGGACGAAACTGGAGAAATACAGTTGGCTCTTGGGTCAAGCAAAGCCTTACTATGCTGCCAAACCTGCCGGCATCGTTGCCATCACACAGAAGCTCTTTGAGTTCTCCGTCCTCCCCTTTAAACTTCCAAATTCACTGGAAATAGTGTTTATAAATACTCGAAAAACAAGGAACAGTAGTTCGTAATTAGAAAGTGTGAGAATTTCCTCTAAATGCGAAGAAATAGCATTATGGTCTCAATCGAAAGGAATATCGATGAAAATGATAACACCGAAAATATAACCACACGTTTTCACACTTAACGGACATTTCTGTCATTAAAGTGGACTTATGCCATTCTTCAACGATCATTTTGTTTGACTCTCCATACTAAAAAAGACGTGTATCGCTGAATCTCATGAAGCTCAGATTAAAGGCCAGTAGTAGAAATAAAAGGGAAATGCCAAAAGATAAAAAGGAAAGAAAAAAGAAAAGAAAAATCGAATACTGGATCCCTTTCATCTCTTGTCATGAGAATTCCTTACCACTATGCCACGTATGCGCGTTTAGGAAATAATATTGCATCAAAAGCATTTTCCTATGCTGGGAAAAGGTGGTCGAGCCGTATTTAACTTAAATGCAAAGACGTACATTGTATTTTTTTAAAAAATAATAACGGTATTGCTAGTAATCGAAACGCATTTCAGTGCCTTTGAAAAACATGTGCCCGGCAGAGCAGGTAAAACTCGTCTGTGAAGCAACTAAGACGCAAAATGTTCACTTTAAATACCTCAGAGGTTGCTCTTATTTTGAAGCCTGTGGTCCAAATCGCTTGTAACACTGGTACTGTTTTACGTCGTCACGTTTTTCATTGCCGTCGTCGTCGTTGCTTATAAGCGCTCTAATATTATTTTCGGACAGCCCAATAGCTGACTTCCAGAATTTGACTGCTTAATAGCGAAGACAAATTAAGCTCGTCGGGCTACTTTTGACATATTTTTTCTTATTTCAATTTGTAAAGTAACTATGATATTTTGCATGCGTTGTTTGCTTTTACATTTTGTTTCTTTTGTTTTTTGCAGTGCTAGTGAAAATGACAATAAAGTTTTTATTGTTTGGATAAAACGAAAAAACGTTTCTCTTTTCATCGTATAGACTGATGAGTGTATACAGCAAGACAACAGAGTATTTAAAAATAACTTTCAGTGATTCACTTTTGCACCACAAATCCAACACAAAAGGACTCACTACGTTGTAGTGACACGTGGTGGGTCAGTGTACAGCAAATAAAATCTTAACACAAAAAGATTTTTTATTATCATTTTTTGGATAAAGAGTATAGAAAATTTTAGTGAATTACTTGAGCTTAATGTCTATTTATCAGAGTTTTTTTGCGTCACAAAACTATATTACCTAAAAGGACACACTTCACATCCCTCAAAGGAACTCAATCAATTACAAGACGAACTATGTATTTTACATATAAGGACATTCCCGTATCGGACTAACCTGTTAAAAAAGAAAGACAAAAAAGAAAAGAAAAGTGAATGAAAAATACTTTCACTGTGTTAAATAAACAACTGCACTAAATAGCTCAACAAAAATGGGCTTAGTATCCGAACGTATATGTATGTAATTTTATCTCAGGTAATTTTCATTTCTCCTTTGTTTCAACTTCATTAGCATACAATACCATAACCAAAAACAAAAGAAAAGCAAAACTTACCTGAGATAAAAAAAATTAACTGTAACATATACATAGATTCTGTGAGGCACGGTCAAACACCAACCAAACACACAACCAAACTTCACATGTTAACTAGATGTTCTCAAAGTCCTTCGCTACCAAAAACACATAAAAATTTGTAGCTCGCGCTTTTCGCTCGAGAAACATTTGAGCTCAACTTGTGGGCAAGTCTATATGTTACCTAATGCTTACAAGCAAAATCTGTTTCTGTCTCTCATTAGCATTAGGTTCGTCACAAGCCGTCGCCCATTTCAGGAGCCGAGCTTATAATCAGCTGCATTAGGGCCATTCCAAAGCCGATCCAAACTGAATATGTACTTAATAAATATATTTGGTTCGGCTCATCAATAATCTTGAAATCTGAATGGGGCTTGACTGAAATTATATGTAAAAGAAATGTTGCTATTAAAGCAATAATAATGACGCGTGTCTTCTCATTGTTTTGTAGTATTACTGTTGGTAGCTTTATGCTGGGTACTCTTAAGTACATTGCACGCCCGTGGTAGCCGAGGCAGTTCCCTCGTTTAATTAATATCTTGAAGTTTATTTTGCACCTTTTCTGATATTGAATAGCGCTTCTACCCTCTCCACTAACTGAAAACTATTTTGCACGTTCTTCATTTTCACCACATGGGTTGGTTTTTTTAAGCATCAACCAAGGATTGCTTTCCAGATAATCATTGCCCCACTAAAATTCCTAAGAATTTATGGTAGCTATGCTTGTTGACGGCGTCATCATTTAGCAACTACACATATTCTTTTTTCTTAATTAAACTCTTTTATTTAAGGCTATATTCACACTATACCAGTTAGCTTTTGCGTCAGCACGAAAATCATACCGGATATGGCTGCTATTCAAAATAAGAACGGTGATTTCGTAAAAAAAAAAAAAAAAAAAAAATTGCTTCGAATCCGGACCTCGACGTCGGACTTTTCGTATCCTAATCTCTCTACCTTACAACTAGACTACAACATGGACCATCGACCCGCCAAAGTCCGAAAAATTCAAGTACATAAACTAGCATACTCTTTTCTGTACATCAACAACGGGTGACTCTGGCCCTTTCCGTAACTTTTAACGTAAATTCAACTTGGGCTTCCACGTTGTTCTCTTTAAGACTATAAAAGAACGTATTGTTTGCCTTATTGTAACTTAATTCAGGGAATATATAACATCTAACATGACTGAAGGCTTGGTTACCAAGGTGGCATCGCCTATTAAAAATGGCAACGACCCTTTACGAAGGGGAAATAGGCTTCGACGCGATTTCTGTAACGGAGCGAAGCTGTGCCTTGCCGATCTCGATAAAGGAGTGTCATATATAGGATAGCGGGTTCTGTGCCACACTTTGCTGTAGTTTGAATAGGTATTCAGACTGTAGCGGAAGTGAATGAGTAGGAAAGGGGACTGGAACCCACTGAGACGGAAGTTAGTTTCGTTTCGGCACGAAAAGCTATTATGGTATAGTGTTGAAATAGCCTAAGTAAAGAAATATCAGCTTAACCTACTTCTAAGTAAGAAGTCACTTACTATCACTCCTTTCATCGGATCAGAACAGATTGAAAAGACCAATCAAGCTTATCAGGGCAGTAAGCAAACCGTAAGGTAGGTCCCCTGTTCATTGAAAAGACAGGTGATATTAAGCTGATGAGTGACTGTACAAACGACAGACAAGAACGACTAGCAAGACTGAAAATAAGCAGGAAATGAAAGTTTAAGTAGGCCATTATAGCGAGTGTATCTTTGGCTCATACCATGCATGATGGCTCCCTTTGAGTGGACTTCACCTTGAAGATTCGAAAACAAAAACAACAAAAATAGAAATCAGCGCACAGAACTTTTGCAAAAAATATATCATATCGTCTGATATACAGGCCTCTCGTGTGTCTTCCTTTTATGTAAAGAATATATTAACACAGTGACAATGTTGTACCTAGTTACATTAAGTCTTAAATATATTTCTAAAGGCCTGTTTACATGGGGGTGGGGGACCCCAGGTAGGTGAGGTAACCCGCTTAGGTGGGGTAACCCGCCGGTTCATATAATCTCACATTTTACTTGGATCACGTTTACATGATAGGTGGGGTGACCCGCCTAGGCGGGTAGCCCGGTCTGCCAGACCGGGTAACCTTCTCAGCCGGGGTCAAATTTTGCCATGTAAACGTTTCAAGGTGGGGTAACTCGCCTAGCCGGGGTCGGATTCGGAATACATCAAATTTCGCTCAAAATTCATTTTGGCGGTGGCTTTGCATCATTATTAAAGGTAGCAATAGAAAGCCACAGCACTGAAGGTTTCAGCAAGAGCAGCACGTGAGTGTAGAAGAGCATTAATCGCCAAAACAGGAAGTTTGCTAGCATTTTTCTTGTTTACGTGCTTAGCGACCATTCAGTAATCTTGAAAATGTGCACCCCGGGATGGCGGGGTTGTAAGATTACATGTAAAGGAGGGTTATTTTTTTTTGCCCCAGCTAAGCGGGTTAACTCACCTACCTGGGGTCCCCCACCTCCATGTAAACAGGGCCTAACATAGCATGTTTAACTGGCAGTTAATATACTTCAGAACACTGGCTTCCTTAATAGTATTTCGGTCGAGACATCAATTCACGTGTATTTTCTGGGGGACGAATAACAATGATAATAACAATAATCCACACCGTCCAACTGGTAAATAAGAAAGCAAATGATATCACATACGCCTTAATCATAAATGGCGGATGCGAGCCGAGTCCGCGAAAACGAGGCTTTAGAGGCATCGATCTTACAGTTTCTTACGACAGAACTAACATGGCTGCAAGTTGTCATTTCAGTTAAACGGTCTGTCGATTTTTTTTTTGAAAAACATATAATTGGGATCGGTCGATCCAGCTTGTAGTTCGATAGAAAATCTATTGCTTTCTTGTGAAAAAAGTGTTTAAAAGTGCGTCGAGCCTTGCTGTTGATTTGACTGAGGAACATTGTCGATGGGTCTTTAGAAAGAAGAAACCCAGCAGAACTAAACAAAAATGCCTTGAGGTCTTGGTGAACATTCCGGGGAGGTAAATGTAAAGAAAGGCCCAGCTGGTAAAAGGGTAAGTTAAGATGTACGATGAAGAAATATTAGTAGCAATCCTAAGCTTATCCTGTTGATTGAACATAGTCAATTACCGACGATTGACTGACATGACTTGCCATTCTCTCTAGGGTTAATCAGTACATCAACTCTGGTTTAAATGATTTCATAGTCGACCCAGATCCAGAATTTATATATATTTTCAGAAAACAACCAAACAGCATCAAAGAGACTTAGTTACCTGTCTTTTGTGACACTAGTACTGTTTCACGTCGTCACAAGAAGGTAAAGGTCAACTGTCCAACAAGTGGAAGGGGAATCTCAAACTCCCCTGATTGACGAGAGTGATAAATATGTTGCCGGCACTGGAAAGAGTTTGGGTTTTACCGCTAAGCAATCCGTTCCAACCGCGGGCTCAAGAAGGTGGCAACATTTCTCAAGGTTGGATATCGTAAAGAAATGAAAAGCTACATCAAGGTGTATGATGATCAGAGATATTTTTTCATGAGTTGTAAGTGTTAGCATTCATTAATGGTTATTTTACAAGTGCGTGTACACGCACGGAAATTTTAATCACGTAAATAAAATAGAGGCAAGAGATAAAGTGTTGGACTTAATCGTGAACTTCATCGAGGTTCACTTTTACGCTTACGTGCGACATTCATGGATTGTTTCTATTTTATTTGCCTATGTAAATTTTACGCATGTGCACATGTACAAATTACGCAACAGCGGAAATCCGCCCTTAGGAAGAACGATCCTCCTCATAACATATTTTTTCCAACATGGCCTCTTTGTGTACACAATGGTACACAGCAGTGAATTTACTTCAACGTCATCTTTGTTATGGTTCCTCTAATACCTTGTTTTCGAACACTCCGCTCAATTTTAACTGTGCGTCAGCAGTTTATGAAAAAGCAATTACAAAATCGTTTCCTAACCAAAATAACTACCCCTACTAACTTTGCATTAATACATCTCATTTTTACCTTTGGTGTACATAATAGTTACATTGACCTGCTTCGGACCTTTCAATATAACGGAGCTGTGTGGACTTGAGAAAATGACTTGAAAGGTTCTGTTGCCTTCAAAGCTGTTATCCTTGTTAATGATACCAATTTTAACTTCCTTGAAAATCTCTCCCGGAGCAAACGCCAGTTGTTTACCAGTGGCAGCTTTAAAGTGCATGTTTGGTTCCGCTGTCAAGCTTTTTGTATCATAGCTTAAAGAAAAATAACCATGATATGCGGTATTATTAAAATGTACTCAGTCTTTCTGCGGGGTNGAGCAAACGCCAGTTGTTTACCAGTGGCAGCTTTAAAGTGCATGTTTGGTTCCGCTGTCAAGCTTTTTGTATCATAGCTTAAAGAAAAATAACCATGATATGCGGTATTATTAAAATGTACTCAGTCTTTCTGCGGGGTAGGCACGCAACTCCCTGATGTCTTACCGTAAAATCCCGGTTACAAGCCCTGGGTTTTTGCAACTTAGCAAGAGATTTTAGCTGAATACTATATCCAATAGAAGTCGTGCCAAAAATGTTTATAATTGAATGCCTGGACATATTAACCATTCAGTTACATCAAAACACATCTCAATTTTCTTGTTTGAATTCTATCAATTTAATCTCCCATCAGAATTAGGTATAAAATCAAAGTTAAAACTTTAACTCAACCCGTAGCAATAATATAAAAAAGGAAAAGTACGACTTTAACTAAAAAAAGAGAGACGAAGAATAATTTAATACATCTAAAGATGGCAATCTTGTAGGCTTTGGTACATTCGCAAAATGTTTTTCGTTTCATGTAGATGAGCATATATACAAACATTTACGGCATATAAAGCAAATTGAGAAAATACATGGAATTTTGTTCTAAACAATTATTTAAAAGTAATAGAATAAAACCACAGAAGATCATCAATGCTAAATACGCCACTTTTGCAGTTGCGAAAAGAAAGCGAGATTCGAACCCTGACCTCTGCCGGCGATATCGGTACAGCGCTCTAATCCATTAAGCTAGCAAGCTAGCTAGGAGCTGGTCATTAAATTGGTTCTTATATACCCGGGAAAGATGAAGATATGAATACCTCATTGGTATTTAATTTAGCAATTTTAGCGTTTTTAACTTCATTTTGTCTTGTAAAAAAAGTCAGCTTTTTAAAATGTCTTTATAAACTGACACAAACAATGTGTGAAATCTTTGCAAGTTAACATTATTTCCCAACTGAAGATACAATATGTAGCATACCTGTAAAACCACAGTTAGCAATTTGTGTATTTGTCGATACATAGCCTAAGTATGTTGTTACTATTACATGCTGAAAATTTTTTTTTTTGCTGTGATATGAATTATGATTTAATTTTTTACAATCGCGAAAAACGCGAAATTAAAGACCCGTTAAATTAAAAACCAGTAAGGGTAAATAAAAGCAGTTAAAATAGCGTTACACAAACGATTGCACTATCTTTTACCCACCTCGTATTAAAGTTAGCACTTGCGTAGTGGCGTATAGGTAGCCACACCCTTCACAATACTTTTTATATTTGTTATATTTCGTGAGAGGGGGCATAGCTCAGTGGTAGCAGAGAATTCGACTGCAGATCGAGAGGTCACCGGTTCAATCCCGGTTACCCCTTTACTGGCTTCAGCTGTGGCTTCTTAACTTTTGCTCAAATTTAAAGCCTCATCACATATTAAAGCCACCCAAAAATTAATACATGTGTTGCACCTTTTTCCTTCTCGTTATCATTTTGTTTCAAACCATTAGTTTTGCCAACCGAAGAATTAACAGCTTAGCACAACATTTGTTATAATCGTTATGTCTTCCGTTTTCATGTAGATGAGCTTATAACCAGAAATCTCTTGCTGCTAATGGCAAACTACATGGCTAAAAGGATTCACATGCTGCTGACTTTTGACCTCCCTACATTCGTTTTTTTCCTTTTCACGATCAACTTTCAGCTGAACTGCATCTTTACTTACTCAACTGCGGTAGCAATAGCAAGAAATCCCTGACGGAGCATGCGTATCACTGCCATGCCAGAATCTGCTGGTATTATTACTTGAGCTTCCAGAATCTCAATGGTGACGTTGTTTACCTCCATTGCTAAGATTATACCAGAAATCAGTTAATATTTTACGCATGATCGTTATGTCAATATCACATTTTGGGAAAGGTTGTCAAATACGCAAAAGTGCGCGCAACAGTCCTGAAAAGTAATTAAATCCGGGATACGATCAATGAATTTTGAAATTCGATGAATAAATCTAGATCTATTACAGTAAATCATAACAAAGTAATGCCCACGCTCTGATTGGTCAATGAGCCATCTAGCCCTTTGTCCATTGGTGCACTCCAAAAGAGATCTAATTTAGGTTACAATAAAACAATGTCGTATCTGGAATAAGTTGGGATCGTAAACATGAAAACTGTAGAACATAGGAGAATATGTAGTTAACTTTTGTTGCTTTATAAATCTTTAATCTGTAGGGGACTTAGATACATTCTTGAATTTCTTTTAGTTCTCACTCAAGACTTTTAGTTCTTATAAGTTATATGTTAAAACATATAACTTGAGAGGTAGTGGTGTTAATCTTGGCACACAAAGGTTTGACCTCAACTGGATGAAGAACCCTTTTACCTACCAAGTTGCTAAAATCTGGAATTCACTTGAACCCGATCTAAGGAAAGAAAATCTATATATTTTTTCAATATTTGGCAGAAAACTTTTCACTGGAACGTCATTTTAGAAATGATAAAGAAGTAGACTATCTTATGAGGTCACAATTACACCAAGGTAAGTTCCTGACACTGGAGCTCTGGAGGCTGTTTTTGTTGAAACTCAGGTTTCCCTAAAATGCTTAAGTAAAGAACACCACTTACGGACTAGTGGACGATCTTGCCTTTTCTCAGCGACCAAATTATGGAACTTGGTACTGAACAATTATAGACAGTTATAAATACTTTTTTTTTATCAAGTATCATTTTAAAGCGTTTATTTTCGGTGAATCATAAAAGTGACAGGAGTTTGGCCTTATGTCTGCGTTTATGAGAAGGGGGAAATTAAAAAGCAGTAAGTGTGTATAATCCTAAGAATCGCTGTTCAATATTCGTTGCAAGCCGCTAGCAAGGACACAATGTACCAGTCCCGTTAAATTTTTTTTAGTCTTGATCATTAAATCTAATGTACGAATAGAGCGCTGATTGTTTTTTCCGTATTTAGTTCACAAACGATGTCAGATAAACCTTCATTGTGTAGTTGACTGTTAACGCGCAACAATTGCTTAAAATTTCTTTTTTTACCCTGTCTAAGCACATCATACCTTCTTTAAAACTCCTGTTTCCATGTTCTTTAATTTCGTCGACTTTCAGTTTAATTCCAAAAAAGTTTAAGTTACTGATGAAGAATCCTTTTGTATTGGATCTTGAGCCAAGCTTCAGACGCGTGTTCCGGTCTTGAAGCCAAACACTAGAGCCCCCAATGGGTGCATCACCATGGGACCCGTTTTGGTAGAGGACTACACTGCGGCTGCTTGAATCGGGATCAAAGGTAAATACCATTTGGATCCAAGTGTTAGTTCCTGCTAGTTTCTCGATATATAGTTCACTATTCCCATCTGAGACCATAACTACCGCTTCACCGACAAAGGTGGAAGATATCTCAAACGACCAGCCATATTCATCTCTGTCGCCATATTTTACCCCCGAGTCCAGCACCTTTAGTGCTTTTTCGGCTCCGGATCTAAAGAGAAATGACACTGTAAAATTCTCACAGAGATTTGGATTACTGATGCAAGAACCAGAAAAGTCACCAAGGTCAATTTCTACTCCTGGAGGCACAAACAGAGCATGGATTCCATCTTCCACCTGATTTCTGACGCCATTTGGGATTGTCTCGCTTTTGAAAGATTTGTTGGCTGCCTGGTCGTAACCATACAATGCCTGGTTGGCAATTGGATAAAAAGGCCAGGAGTAATTAGCTGTCATGAGAAAGAGGAAAATCAGTTTCCGTTAAATAAAATTCTTTTAATTACTGATAGTGATTGTTTTACTCATTGTACGCCGAGTTGCATGTACTTGCCACCCAAAATAACAAGTACATGCACGGCAGCTATAGAATTCTCTGGAGTAAATCATTTCAAGTTCAAACAAATATCTCATTTTATTATTACACGAATTATCTATTTTCTAAAGAAGGTATTCGCGAGTTCGCCATTGTTTTTACTTTGATTATCTGCAATCGGCAACGTAATCGTTAGAACACTCAGTCGTGACAATAGGGTACTTCGGGTTGTTCGTTGTTTCTCAAAGGCAGCTCGAACAACGGTACAGCACTGCATGTTGGGAATGGGGGAGGAAAATCTACATTCTCAAGTAAAATCTACAAATCTCAAGTAACCTTGTCACCGATTATAGGAATTTCAGGAGCTTTTCATTACGGTTAGTCCTTTTGCAAATGGAAACTGGTTCGCCATTTGAATAATTTCGTGTTCTGAGTATTTTATAGGTTACCCTGTTGTAGCACGCGTTTGCGCACTTGCTCTAGATAAAGTCAGCACGAGAGCGAAAATGGAAGACTAGATTCTAAGCCTTAACAAGCATAGCTGGGATTGTTAAATTTTCTATTTTCAATGACGGAGACTTCTGTAAGCTCCTATACGCTCTATATATTCTACTATCAGCAACTTAAACGAAAGGTGTATTTTATACTGAAGACCGTTGGGAGACCAACCATAAATAAATTCATAAAGCGAAATTTTTCTTGTGCTTTATCTTTTAAAACGCTTATATCTTTGCTGTTTTGGTAGTGATTTAGATAACATTTTACGAGACATTAAGAAATGATAGACGTTTTGGAGGATTGTATTTATATAGATCACCGCGCTTTATGACACAGTACTGCCAAACTGGGAAAACGTGATTTTGTGTTCAAGTTTGAGGATCGAATAGAAGACAGCACTCAGTGATATTATCTGTATGGTCGCGGTGAAACACTAGTGAATCATGACCGAAGCAGATATTGCAATTTCAAGTTTGCTAGCAAGACATAATAGTTTCAAATGAAGAAGATCTGTCATTTTTGAAAGAAATGCCTTATATCTCTTTTGTAAAAGCGCTCTTTTAGAATTTTCCTTTTGTCATAACACACTACTGAGTCAACCACCCTTTTTTCCCTCTGCAGTGTCACCTCGTGATGCAGGTGCATTTTCTTTGGCCTCTTTTGAAACGGAAGTTTCTTCAAGGTGGCTAAATAAGGGTTTCAATTTTCTTTTGTCCTTCGTAAATGTGATGGTTTCGTACATATTTTGTCACGCTGGGCACACCTTGTTAGGGTTCATTAGTTTGCAGGATGTTAAATCAGTCGCACGCATAGTAATTTAGGGATCCAAATTCGAAGAACGGATTGCAGCTTAAACTGAAGCTACATCAACCATGGCAAATTTCGTCGTGACTCAGCCAAGATTGCTCTTTAAGCAATGATTTTTGAACTCCAGCTACTCCCCCCCGGGGGGATACTCCCTCATCTGGCCTAGACGGAAATGTGCCACTGGACAGGGTGTGGTTTTTAACCTCTCTGTGTCCTAAACAGGGTAAATAATTCCTTCTGATCTGTCAACAGGATATTGCCTGAAAGATTGATTTGATTTGCTAGATGAATTTTGTTTGTATTCCGAGGATATAAAAGCAATGACTATAACCTGAATTCGCCCTATAGCAATTGCCAATAAATGGCTTTAAAACAAGACGGCATGAATTTTGTCCATTGTCCTAAACAGGGTATATATTTAAGAAATTTGTTTTTGCTAAACAGGGTCAGGGTTTCAAACCCTTAGCGACCCTCCTGTACCCAAATATTGGTCGAGTAACCCCCCCCCACCACGCCCGGTATTGAGCTTGAGCTAATCATCTACTGCCCACTTGATGCACAGTTCCGGCACCACAGGTACCCCAAACTCGCGAGTGAGAATCGTTGTTGCATTACAGAAATATTATAAGGGTTTGTATAGGGATTTAAGCGATCGTATTTAGGGGTCAAAAATAGTAATAGCGGCGTTCCACGCGCCGCGCGAAGCCCCATAGCTAAGAAAATGTGGTAATTTACCCATCCTAGAAAATTTGGTAATCACGTGACCGTACACCGAGCGAGCGACCGTCCGTCCGCACCACAGGCATACCAATGTAAAAAACTCAATCAACAGGTATGGCAACCCAAATGCAACTCAAGGTTTTATTTGGAAGGAAATGACATGGCCGCCCGGACTTTTAGAAAGTAAAAACAACAACAAAGTTGAATCTTTTTCGGCGTTATTTTTCATGTTTACACTAACGTAAATAACAGAGAAAGAGCTAGAGCGAGTTATTGAAAACAAAGGAGACGAATTTCGTAGGGAGAAAAACATGAAAATTCAAAGCGGCGGTGAGAAAATGAGAAATGCTAGCGGCCAGCAAGGTGAAAATGAGCGGCGGTAAAAAATAAAAGTGAACGTGAACACAGGAAACAAAATATTGGGTCAACACATACGACAATTCCTCCGTAAAAATAATGTGTAACTAGGAAGTTTGACGTTTTAATCGTTCAAAACAGCGTTGTAGTCGTGCAAAACAACCGCAAGGGAAAGACGAAAAAGCGTGCCGCACGTGCAAATTGTTTACATACAAACACAGACCACGAGAGTTTGGGAATAAAATTGGAGCTTTATTGCTACACTGGTCGAGAAACCAAACCGAGACGTGTTACATACGTAGACAATAAAACTCCGACACCTTAAGGGTGAATTTCAGTTTCGAAGACAAGGGCAATTTTGCTGTTTAAGATAAAGATTAAAGATTAAGATTAAATGTTTGAACTAAACGAAAGAATGCCAGGGATGCGATCCGCTGAATATCTAGCGACAATTCCGCTAAATTTTTTTATAACTATACATAATTATGCGGATGTTTAGACAATGAACCAATCAAAATCACTACCCGGTTTTCGGGTAGTGAGTGACGTCACTGGACGGCATTAACGGACGGTCGTTTCAGACGTTGTTGAGAGGAGAAAACGACTCGAAGCAATCGGATGAATTTCAGGCTAACAGAAAACTGGCTGTCTTTGATTTCCTGATTTCGACCTTGAAGCAGTAGATTTCACGGTGATGGAAGGGTATTAGCGCTCTGAGGGTTTCCTGTTTTGCGTTTTTACGGACCCGTTTGATGTCCTTTTTTAAAGTCGTCGCCTGTTCCTATTTCAGCCCTCGACTTTTTAAACGAAGAAATGTTTAGATGTTAAAAAGGAGAAACGAGGGAGAAGAGTGCATGGTGATTCGCTTTTTTGTGAATTATTGGAAGTAAATTAAGTTTGCACTAGAAGCTGAGTAACCTATGATCGAATAACATGACCCACCATCCAAGCTAACTCACGTCTTACACTGATCACGACCCTATGAGTCGTGTTTAGCCTGTCAACACTTCATTTCAAAATCAAATCTCTAAATCTAATCATAATTCGAAAATGCAACTCGAAATCCTAACCCCTATCCTAACTCGAAACCCCATCTCAAAAGCCAACTTGAAATCATAACTCGAATCTTAACTCGAAAATCCAACTCAAATCCTAACTCGAATCCTAACACAGAAGTTAGTATATATCTCTCGATAGTCGGTCCAGCGTAACCACAGGCAAAGCACCCTTAATTTACTCTGTTCGTGTGGCACTGTTGAATCTGGGCATGGATCTCCTATACTCAATTGAAGAAAAATAGATGAACATTACGACGGCTACAGTTTAATCCAAAATACAGATTTGACTCTAAATGTTTCATAAAAAGTTAAAGCGAAGAGGATAACTTTGTCATTCGTCATAACCGTTTTCGCCGTTTTGCGCCGTTTAAAGCGTTCTTTTTTTAGATGATTATTTTACTCCCGCGGTTAGAACTAAACAAGGACTTGCCTGTGGCTTAACATGGTGTAATAGCTGCAGTTTGTTTTTAGTCGAGCAAATCAGCTGCCGCCTGATCATGAGTTATTGAGGCGTTCGCAATATCGACATGTCGAGAGTTAACCGTGTATCGGTATCTCCGTGTAACTGATAAGATTAGTGAGTTATAAAAAATGAACATCGATTTTTTTTTTTTGTATTCCCGGTTGTCTTGAAACTCCCCCCCGGGGGGATACTCCCTCATCTGGCCTAGACGGAAATGTGCCACTGGACAGGGTGTGGTTTTTAACCTCTCTGTGTCCTAAACAGGGTAAATAATTCCTTCTGATCTGTCAACAGGATATTGCCTGAAAGATTGATTTGATTTGCTAGATGAATTTTGTTTGTATTCCGAGGATATAAAAGCAATGACTATAACCTGAATTCGCCCTATAGCAATTGCCAATAAATGGCTTTAAAACAAGACGGCATGAATTTTGTCCATTGTCCTAAACAGGGTATATATTTAAGAAATTTGTTTTTGCTAAACAGGGTCAGGGTTTCAAACCCTTAGCGACCCTCCTGTACCCAAATATTGGTCGAGTAACCCCCCCCCACCACGCCCGGTATTGAGCTTGAGCTAATCATCTACTGCCCACTTGATGCACAGTTCCGGCACCACAGGTACCCCAAACTCGCGAGTGAGAATCGTTGTTGCATTACAGAAATATTATAAGGGTTTGTATAGGGATTTAAGCGATCGTATTTAGGGGTCAAAAATAGTAATAGCGGCGTTCCACGCGCCGCGCGAAGCCCCATAGCTAAGAAAATGTGGTAATTTACCCATCCTAGAAAATTTGGTAATCACGTGACCGTACACCGAGCGAGCGACCGTCCGTCCGCACCACAGGCATACCAATGTAAAAAACTCAATCAACAGGTATGGCAACCCAAATGCAACTCAAGGTTTTATTTGGAAGGAAATGACATGGCCGCCCGGACTTTTAGAAAGTAAAAACAACAACAAAGTTGAATCTTTTTCGGCGTTATTTTTCATGTTTACACTAACGTAAATAACAGAGAAAGAGCTAGAGCGAGTTATTGAAAACAAAGGAGACGAATTTCGTAGGGAGAAAAACATGAAAATTCAAAGCGGCGGTGAGAAAATGAGAAATGCTAGCGGCCAGCAAGGTGAAAATGAGCGGCGGTAAAAAATAAAAGTGAACGTGAACACAGGAAACAAAATATTGGGTCAACACATACGACAATTCCTCCGTAAAAATAATGTGTAACTAGGAAGTTTGACGTTTTAATCGTTCAAAACAGCGTTGTAGTCGTGCAAAACAACCGCAAGGGAAAGACGAAAAAGCGTGCCGCACGTGCAAATTGTTTACATACAAACACAGACCACGAGAGTTTGGGAATAAAATTGGAGCTTTATTGCTACACTGGTCGAGAAACCAAACCGAGACGTGTTACATACGTAGACAATAAAACTCCGACACCTTAAGGGTGGGAGGGAATTAGGGTGAACCAAAGCGGTTCGAACAGATCGACTAGAGATTACGACTGAAATATAAGCCTGGTGATGACTCGATTAAATGCGGCGTGTCACAACATTCAACAATTAACTATCATCACTTAGGTAATGATTTACAAAATTGTTTACATACAAACACAGACCACGAGAGTTTGGGAATAAAATTGGAGCTTTATTGCTACACTGGTCGAGAAACCAAACCGAGACGTGTTACATACGTAGACAATAAAACTCCGACACCTTAAGGGTGGGAGGGAATTAGGGTGAACCAAAGCGGTTCGAACAGATCGACTAGAGATTACGACTGAAATATAAGCCTGGTGATGACTCGATTAAATGCGGCGTGTCACAACATTCAACAATTAACTATCATCACTTAGCTAATGATTTACAAAATTGTTTACATACAAACACAGACCACGAGAGTTTGGGAATAAAATTGGAGCTTTATTGCTACACTGGTCGAGAAACCAAACCGAGACGTGTTACATACGTAGACAATAAAACTCCGACACCTTAAGGGTGGGAGGGAATTAGGGTGAACCAAAGCGGTTCGAACAGATCGACTAGAGATTACGACTGAAATATAAGCCTGGTGATGACTCGATTAAATGCGGCGTGTCACAACATTCAACAATTAACTATCATCACTTAGCTAATGATTTACACAATTGTTTACATACAAACACAGACCACGAGAGTTTGGGAATAAAATTGAAGCTTTATTGCTACACTGGTCGAGAAACCAAACCGAGACGTGTTACATACGTAGACAATAAAACTCCGACACCCAAACCCAAACGAAATGATCTGTGTTTGAGTAAGAAAGTTAAGAAGATTAAAAAAAAAAATATCTATATACCGATAATTAAGTCAACTGAAAAAATAAATGTGGTTGAGAAAAGTATATGATTATAATGCTAGCTAAAGACCAATTTGCTGTAAAGCGTGAGCCATAGCATTAACAGCGGTACGTTTTTGATGATCTGTCATTTCAAGATAAACCAAATAAGCGTCGCTGCGCCAGTCCCCTTGTAATTTGATTAGTTCCGCTGGAAGACCGCAATCGAAAGCGAAAGTCGCCCCCCCGCGCCGAAAGCTATGAGAGGAAAATTCACTGGGATCTGCCCCGATAGCTTGTAAAGACCGAGCCAGAAAACGCGAAAACTGTGGATAAGTAATGGCTTGAACCGACGCTGAATCGCTGGCGCGAACGGAAAAGAGTGGAGCACTAGCGGGCACCTGATTCAACTTGAGATGTGTATGCAAAGCGGCGACTGGGCACAGAATAGATCCAGGGATAACTGGCAATGGAATATTAAGCGAACGTTGCGCAAACTGGATTGTTTTGGTGGCAAGAATGCGCAAAAATGCGGTATTCTCGTTTAGTATAAGGTGACTACAACATAGAACCTTGACAGATGAAACGCTGCGCATGTTTTTGACAACTAAATTGGAGTTACGCAAGAAAGAAAAGAAGGCCACGAGAAAGAGGGCCCACATAGCAGCATGTAATGGGATGCGTAAATCGAAGAAAAAGGCCATGCGGTGCAACATAAGAGGCGTGATCGCTTTTTTCCTAGTAGCCTGCAGACCGAGATAGCGCTTAGTGCCCTTGATGATAAGCCGAAAAAAATATTGCTGTTCCCAGCCCGAAGAAAAACCGTAAACTTGATGGAAATGTTTAAGACTAGAAATATGATTTTGGATGGTACCAAAGCGGCGACCAACATGAGCAAGATAAGATACATAACGTGAAACCACGATAACATTCAAAGGGAATGAGCGAAAGTTAAAATGATGGCAAAAACTAAGATACACATTAAGATGAGACTGCATATTCTTCCGAGTGAATTCCGCGAAGGCCAATGATGTGAGGTGATCGCCGAGCCGGTCAATGACTACGATTCTGGGATAATGGCCTAAAGAATAGAAAAATACACACAAAAAATAATAATAATGACAATTTAAGACATAAAAAACAACTGTCGGTCCTACGATACTTGAAAACGTAAGAGTTGATCAGGAACCTCAATAAAAGTGTACTTAAGAGCGAGTTCGCGACAATAAACGTAAAAATTACGTTGATGCTTCTGGTGAAGATGCCATCTGCTTAAGGCGTCAGGTAAGAAGTTGTGGTCGCCTGGAACAAACGATGCGTGAATCTCGAAGTCGTGTAAGGAAGCCGTAAACCAAAGCTGGCGCAAACAACGTTGCATGAAAGGGTCGCGCGTGACGCCGGAGTTTATGACTGTGACCGCCGCTTCGTTGTCGCAGGATACAATGAAGCGATGATGAGCGAGAAGGGGAGCCCAAGCTCGAATCGCAACGACCACGACAAACAGCTCTAGAGCAGTGATATGCGTCGCTTCCTGAAGAATGTTCGAAGGAAATACAACGGAGAAACATTGGTCTTGACATGTGGCCCCGCCACCAGATAAGCAAGCGTCGGTGAAAAATGGAAATCATCAAAAGACCAGACCTCGGACTTGATGAAGGAAACGCCGTTAAAAAGAGGAAGAAAAGTGAGCCACCAGTCAATGTCTAATTTCATATCATGTGAGACCACCGCGGTTCGTCGAGAAGATGGAAAAGCACGCAAATTGTTCAGCAACCGGGACATGAAAATGCGGCCTGACTTGACACACGCTGTGACGAAAGACAGTTTTCCGAGAAGTGATTGCAATTCTTTAAGGCGATAAGATGTGCGAGCTTTCCAGTGAGTCAGTTCAAATAACAAATCGTCGAGGTGATCGCGCGGCACACGAAGACAAAAGGTGTTGGTGTCAACTTCGATACCAAGGCAAGTCATGGTCGTGGCTGGTGGACAGTCTTTTTCAGGCGAAGCTTGCAAGCCGAGACGATCAAACAAAGACTGAAGCTGGTGAAAAGCATCGAACGCTCTATCGGGGCGTTCCGCGCCGTAGAAATCGTCTAAATAAACGTCTGCCGTGTAACCATGTTGCGTAAAAATGTAAATAACGGCCGACGTAGTTCGTTGGCAGATCATAGCACTGGTTCGTAAACCAAACGGACAACGGGTATCGAAGTACAAGCGACCGTTAAACGTAAAACCTAGGAGATGATAATCTTTCGGATCGATAGGGAGTTGTCGGTAAGCTCGACGTAAATCCTTTTTGTAGAGGAGGCAACCGCAGCCATGGTGAAGAATGAACTGACATAAACGATCGATGCCGGGCAGTCTAAGCTTGTAGGGCTCGTTGAGGTAACTTGAGGCTGTAATTCCGCTATTGACAGATAACTGCGGTGGATAACTCAAGTCCATCACAACGCGCCGTTGATTTGAGCCCCTCTGAGGAACTGTTTGTAATGGAGAGCAAATCAAAGGCTGATGTAAAGGATTTGTGCTGAAAGGGCCAGCAATAGCGTGATAGCCAAGTTCGGTGTTAATATAGTGTTCCACATGGTCGGCGAAATCAACGGCGGAGGGATGATTAGAGGACGAAGAAGTGGGAAGATTCTCGGCCGTATAACTCACGGGCCAGCCAAAGCGCAGGAAATCAACGACATGAGCATCCTGGTAGCTTTGTAAATAAAATTCCCAGGCGGATATGTTCAGCTGAGTTATCACCGGTAGACGCGCTCCAAAAGCGTTGGGATACTCCGATTTTGAGACCAAAAGATGTTGAATCACTGCTGTTGTAGCAAAGTCATCAACGGATAGATTGACTTTCGTGCGAGGGATATCCGTAAGGCCAATAAGTCCGTAGAAATAGCCGAGGTCGAAGAAGGGGAGAAGCAGTCCGTAGTTGTGTTGGAGCTCGCGAGTCAAGATGACTCCTACGAAGTGAAGTTAACGTCGGGGATGGGAGTACGTCGCTTAGCACAATGGAGCATAGGATGGTCTTTAGCACAAACTCGACATTTATGATGCCCTGAATACGACGAACTCGCGGTATCACACGAGCAAGAACCAGTGTAGTTCCATTGACGACAAGCCTTGCCCTGTGTAGCGTCAGGCTTCGAAGATCGAGTGTTGGTATCACCAGAAGGGGATCCGCCCCCAGCCGAAATAGTTGAGCGTGGCTGAGGGGTTGAAGTCTGTAGATCTGAATTCTTAAAGAAAATCGTGGCTGCATCACGAATCTGAGTGGCATCATTGAATTCCAGGCGATACAACTCGACCTGTTTAGCGATGTGAGCGTAAAAACCTCTTACGCTCTTCCAAGTGTAGCTGGAAGCTTTGAGCATAAGCAATTCGAGGAGCTGAAGCATGACCTCTTTGCGCGTGGCCTCGTAGGGCTTGATCATTTTTAGAAAACCTGCGACAAAGTTGGCCAGCTCCAACTTCTCGAAGTCTGATGTTGGCGCACCAGGACAAAACTCGTGGGGCCAGTCGATTGTACGTTTTTTTCTTTCCTTACCAGATTTGGAAGGGTCCGCTCCATCAGTAAACTTGGTCTCCGCGGCGGCGGTACGAAGCTTAAGAACCTCGAGTTCCAGGGCTAACTTATCTCGCTGCAGCTGGGCGAGTTGAAGCTCGGAGGAAAGTGTTTGAGCTGTAAGGTCTGCAGCCTGAGAGGTCGCAGGAGACTCGGTCATCTGCCTTAAAGGAATGGAAGGGCGACCGGGCGACGAAGGAACCTGAGAAACACGCGGTGATAGTCCAGAGGCAGCGAGCTCGCGGTCCAGTTGGTCAATACGCTGTTGGACGTAGTCGTACTCGAAGTCGGGGTCGACTTTGGGTTTAATTTTTCTGCTTGTACGACGCAAAGGGAGAGAAGAACTAGCTGCTTGAGCCATGAGATTGTCGGAATATGAACCAAAGCGGTTCGAACAGATCGACTAGAGATTACGACTGAAATATAAGCCTCGTGATGACTCGATTAAATGCGGCGTGTCACAACATTCAACAATTAACTATCATCACTTAGGTAATGATTTACACAATTTGGGTTCTGCTAAGTAGAGGAAAAAGTGTGCTGCACGTTCAATTTGTTTTTTCGCTAATTAAATCTATTAGTCTTGAAGCCATTTTCATTGTCGTCTCCGTATAGTATTACACGATTTAATTTTTTTTTGTTTATAAGTATTACTAACCAGAGCTTCGCTTTTAGCCCTGGCTAAATCTATATATTAAAAATACATTAGAATTTCTTACCTTGTCTCATTGTTTAAATGTATGGTGTTTTCTTGTGTGTTTAAGGAAGAAATAGTACAATGGTTTTGCGTGCATATGTACAGGAACTGCGCATTAGCTGGGCAGAACTAGAACTCTTGATCCTTTTAAAAACCTTAAGTTTCTCTTACGCAACAACGATTTTCACTCGTGGGCTTGGGTTACAGCTGTACCTGTGGCACATACCAAATATGCACGCGAAACTCTTGTACTATTTCTTTCTTAAAAACACAAAGTATAATTTCAGTAAAATTTATGCATGCTAAAGAGGATAAATGTGCAAGCCAATGCGTTAATTTCATGACACGTTTTCGTGTGCTTTCGGGGGCACCGACGTATGAAGGTCCACGACAGTGACCACAGTTTTGAATTACGAACTTATTTTGTAATCTCAAACAAGGGAACTTAAATGCTCAAATTTTATGTGCATTAGCGTTTTTGTAAAGCTTACTGCGAGAAAGAAATAGTACAAGGGACAGTGCGGAAATTTTGCATCGAGTATTACTAAAGCTCAATGCAATCATGGAGTTTGAATGCTCAAACGCTATATTCAGCCTATCAAGTACTGATCAGGTGGGAGATGAGGGTCCGTTTGTAAAATATTCTTACCTGCGTAGGTTCCCCCAACTAACAGAAGTAGTAAAATAACCTTCATATTTTCCTTCATATGGTAGACTGCTTGGTCTGCTTGCAGTGCGCCTCTTCTCTTAATATCTGTTTAGTTCTTATCTCAGTTAGCGCGATTGGAAACAAACAAACAAAACAAACCCTCCGTCAGCCCAGAAACGGAGTAACCGATTGGTCAATTTTACAGCTGTTGACAGATCATTGACTAGTTGCAAGCGGTAAAAATAGTTACGCGTCACAACCAACTGCGAACAATAGCCTGCGTGGCAGGCAGGCCAGCGAACAATAACGAATCAAGCTGTAATCGCTTGTAAACTAAAACGTTTAAGGATATCTTACAGGAGGAAACTGCTGTAAATTTCCTCAAGGAAGGAAATTGAAAGCAGTCTTACCGGATTTAAAGAAAGTGTAATTTTTCAGTTGTTTATGTTCTATTTATAAATTGTTTCAAGTCACTCGGGTTTAATTGGTTAATTAAATTACCTTGACAGCTTTGTTGTCCCCAGACAGAACAAAAGAGTCAGCAGTCTCTTATTTTTTCTTCTCGGGCTTACGCCCTCGTCTATTGCGGCTCGCGTGCTTGGCTTTCGTAAATTTGCAAAGAAAAGTAAGAGACTGCTCGCAGTCTATTCATATGGTCTTTGAAGGAAGCGTGAAACTACTTACGTAATAAATTCCAGCTCGAAAACAGTACCTTGACCCCAGACATTAAACGTAGGTCAAAACAAAAGGCTCTGTTTTCGACATGGGGTGGGGTGGGGAGGGTTATGTTACAGATAGTCTCCCTTTATCATTTTGTAATGCTTGCTGCATATAGTTTCTCTTTGTTTCTTTATTTGGGTGGGGTGGGGAGGATGATGTTACAGCTACCCTCCCCTCAAGGATCTTTTATTGTTGTTTATGATTTTGTAATGCCTGCTGCATATGGCTTCTGTTCATTTCTGTCACTCGTCGCTATAAAGCTTTGTCGGCATTATTTGTAATGGTATATTTTTGCTAACAAGTCACCCACAAATTCCTTCTTCCCGGCTTGTCAAACACTAAGTTGACTAAAGTAATTAAGATTCCAGGTTGAGTTTGCATTGATTGTTGACCGTGTTCTCGAAAAGAGAAGCATTTTGAATTTTTCGGAAAAGTCTTTATCAAAAACGATTTTACTGCTTTCTGAACAGATGCACCAAATATGTTTTATTATCATCATTAATATCGTTACGACTATATCATAATTATTGTTGACTATTTTTTGGTGTCACTGGGGAAATGACGTCATAAATAATTCCGTTTAATTGCAAACATTCTGCTCTCCACCTATTACGCTGTTAGCTCTTATATTTATTTACTTTGGTGAAATATGAATGCAATCTGAATTTTACGGAAATTCCAAAATAAGACTTCACTGTTTTCAAAATAAATACACTGCCTACATTTTTGTTTTGCTAGGGAAATGACGCCAGGCAAATGACGTCATTTATTTCAAGAATTCTGCTCTGCATCCAATAGCTCGCTTTTAGCTCTATTATATTTGGGGCTTTATCGCCCGGGCTTTATCGACATACTGTAAACTTCCGATTAAAAGCCCTGGGCTTACACAACTTCGTAAGGGGTTTCAGGAGGACTTATATTCGTTGTGGGGAGGATTATGACAGGACAAAAAAAACATGTTTCAAAACAAACTACATAGCATTGCTGATCAAAATGTAAAATTTGATCGTTGTTTTAAGCTTCAAAACGTCGTAGAAAGTCCAATTCATTTCAATACAAGCTAGAGGGGGGCTTTGGGGAGGGGCTTATAGCCTGATGTATTTTTATTGTTTACAGGTAGATGGGGCGATAAATGGGAAAAGGGGGGGGGGGGGGGGCTTGTAATCGGAAGTTTATGGTACTCAATAGGACAGATAAGTGCCAATTATTATACCTACTAGTAACATTTTTAGCGACGGGTGTATCTACATGTGTGTTAATTATGACATTAGAAGTAGGTTGGATTACAAGTTTGGATGCAAGTCACTTACGGATAATAACCAGTTTTTTTTCCTTCCTTTTTCCATTTGTTCTTTGCCCGGTGTTAAATTTACAGGGTTGAATTTACTGTTGTTTACAGGACATCGAAGTAAAATGGAGGGTCACTAGATAATTGCACAAGGGAAACTCCAGATAAAACCTTTGGAGAATTTAATTTCGAGTAAAGTTATATGTTTCCGGAGATGTCGTTCCGCGAAAACTGCGTTTTGGCTCTCTTGCTTTTACTGCGGGATATTTTGGGGTTTTTCTACATTTTGCCCCAATACGTATCAACCGTTATCTACATGTAGTTTAGCCTGTCCCAGGCGTTCAGATAGTAGAGCGTGGTGGTCAGTCTGAACGCCTGGAACACAGGGGCACCCAACGACAATTTTCGGAAAAATATCTGTTCGGAAGACGATTTGAGATCTAGAATTTTCGGAACATTTGTTGTAAAATTTTTTGCTTGCCTGCCTCTCTTAGGATTTTCGAACATCTAAAAACTACTATAGTTGCCCATTTTTAACGGATTTTTACCCTTAAAAGGTCACCTAGAATTTTCGGGAGCCTTTTTTCTGGCTGAAATTTTCGAAAAGGTAAGTTTTGATCCCTGTAATTTTCGGATCACTAGACTTTCAGCTAGGAAATCCGAACAGATGAAAAAATTTTAGGGGATAAAAATATGCCTATATCTACCGTTTAAATACTAAAATACGTTTAACACTGCTATGTTTAAGTGGTTTTGAACTATATTCTCGTTGGGTGCCCCTGAGAACAGGCTACATGTAGTTTAATGACAGAATCAACGGCTGCGGACGTCTCTAGGAACTAACTTGGGTGTACATAAATTAAAATAAAGCACGATTTCGTGAAATTTATCCCGTTAGGTCTTCTTTTGTGGTGAAATAAGCCCACTCAGGAGCCGGTTATCGCCCCCTGGCCCTCCAAAGGACCCCGACAATTTTCTCAGCCTCAGTAGGCGACAATATTGTTTGACACATTTTGCCCCAAAGGGCTTTTTTAATGTTTTACTGACTTCAAAAACCTCCCCCACCGCCCTAGATGCAATGCTGTCCCGCAATGTTCAGACATTTTGTTAACTTCAATCATAAAGGTGAAACTAAAACTTTCCCTCCTCCACCCTCTCCATGATGTGCTGCAGCTCGAGCCTCCTTTTTGGAAATAACAAGCAGGAGAGGATAAGGGCGTGGATTGTTGTCCGTAACTACTACATTTGGACTCCAGTGTTGCAACAAATTTATCGCCCATTCTTAATAACAATAGTATATTAATGTGTTAAAAATGGACAGTATTTCTAACAACGAGTATCCGTACAATGTCGGAGAAAAACACTTATAAATGTTTGTGAAATATCAAACAGGAATATCTTGCTGACATAACTCATCATTTGATTTTTCTAATCTTTTATTACCGTAATTATTGTTTATGTCGGACAATACTATTGGTTAATATTACTGTCAGTAGTCGTTTTTTTTTCAGTTCCTTTTTTCTCGTTTCAGTCTGGGTTATATTTGACGCGGTTTGTCTCTAGTCGGTTAGACCAGGCACTTAGGGTAGGACACCCCACATGCTCCCGAGGAATTAGTCCGTGGGCCAGAAAGTGAAACTCTCCCCCCCTCGGGGATTTTTGCAGACATGTATCATTTCAAAGTTTCACCCAAGGGTATTTGAAAAATGCATGTTTGCACTTGATTGGTTGGTGGGCGTGGCTGTGCATTCTTTTCCTCAGCAAAGAGTCACAGGTTACCCGCACCAAGAGGTGAGCTAACCTCTTCTGAAACACTATTACCGACAAAAATAACACTCAAAGTTATTTAGGGAAAAGTTTTTTTTAATCTCATATGTAAGTTAAAATTCTCTACTGCACATGTCACAAGTTTAATTTAGCCTTTACTTGGATACGTAACTAACACCTCTTACGACAGTTCTAAGAAAAAAACTCTCTAAAATGTCTAACCTACGTGAAATTTTGGTAGTTACTGGCCAATGAGAATGTATTAGCTACTGAATGATGACTAATCCCTAGTTTGCTGCTTATGCGATATTTTCAAGCCGAAGTGATGTCAACAGCGCTTTGTAAGGTCCTCTAAAGTAAAGCACGATAATTTTTCCACAGCACTGTATTTAATTATTTTGTTCAAGCTTTTTATGTAACATTAGTTGTAACAAATTAAAAAACTTAATCATTACGTTCATTTTATTTCAAGACGCATATCATACTTCTCTATTTGATATCCCATGAGGCACAGTCCACCTTTTTTCCTCTCCCACAATCCTGAGAGACTGAGATTCGGAAGAATAGGCCATGCACTAAGAGGTCATGTGACATGGTTTTTATGAAAAATGTAAGTTATATGAGTTTGCCTTCGAAAAACGATTAGTAGGTCATATCTTAAACAAAATAATAGTGATTTGGTTTTTCAAACCCGCACCATTTTCTCGAAATGAGTAAGTTCGTAGCTGGTCACGTGACCAAAATGTGATTTTTAAAATCATGAATTACGTCTTTCTGAACACAAATTTTGCACTTAAACTTCAAGGAAAATGTTAAAAAGATGATGTGGTAACGTGTACAGCACACCTGAGCGTAAACGTTTAGCAAGATATAAGCATAAAGTACTTTTGAACGCCATGTTGGAGGGCAAGAGTTTTCCCTCCAACATGGTGGCCAATGTAAATCATACTACTTTGTTGAAAAATCAAAGCACCATAAAATATCTTCCTTAAATGCGTTTCTTCTCAAATTGCAGGTGTAAAATAATTTTTATGAGCTCTGTCAATTTTTGGCATTAGCAAAATTCTAACTCATTGCTTAAAGGAAGCACTGGTCACGTGACCTCTTAGTGCAAGTGGCCTATTCAATGATGTAATTGTACGTATGAGTAGTTTTCATCTTACCTGCGCATTCATGGGTCCCCTTGCAAAGAAAATGAGATGTTGTGGTTTCGAAGAAGTCCTCATCGAATCAGGGATCTGTGCAAGTGGATCGATAGAGCAAGTTTTGACAGGCAAACGTTATAACCACGCTCTTTGTGTGCACAAGGTTGTCTACGAAGCTTTGGAACGAATTCTTCTTCTGGGCTACGAGTCGTCGCATGGTCGTCTTTTTGATAAGCAAGGGGTTATAACATTAGACAATCTAGCGAAGAACCCGTGCAAAGATAACCTCTTAGCATGTTTAGCAAGTGAAAGGTGTAACAAGTCCCTAGACCGTTATGGTAAATTCAAAAAAACTGTTCGGCAGGGCGCGCTTGGCAAGACAGCTCAGTTTTGGTTGAGCTACATGGAAAAGGTAGGCCTAATTCTAAAGTTCCATCGAGCGACTAAAGAGAATTGCCTGACGCTTCACCTAGCAAGCCTCCAAAGAATGTGCAGCATGTTTTTCAGCTTTGATCACCTAAACTATGCAAGATACTCTGCATTCTACTTGTTGAATATGTTGAACCTGGAAAAACGCATCCAGGAGCAGAGGATCTGTTGAAGAATAACGGCTTTAGTGTTAACAGATCAGATCTTCTATCATCTAGAAATGCCGTTGACATAACCATTGAGCAAACATAGAACCGTCATGCGAAATCTCACAGCGGAATTGTTGGTTTTAGCCGGAACCGTGCTGCCTACTACAGATGGTGCCGCACTAGACATGCAAGAGCAAGCTATCTACAAGCAACCAAATTAAAGAGATAGCGAATATCGACACTCTGGAGTCTACCTCGCACAAGGAGGTAAGATGTTCGCAGATATTGAAGAGTGAGCAAGACACGTGTTGCGTCATGGAAGCGATAAATAGCTTTATTAATCCTTTCACAATTGAAGATAGGGACGCGCTGTATTGTCTGTCATCCAGTGCTCCCGTGCCCTCGAATGTGGAGAATGACATTCTTATGTCTGATGAAATTGGCAAGAAAGCCCACAAGCAGTTCGTTCTGGACAGGCTTATAGACAAAACCGTCAGCTTTCACGAGCCAGTGAAAAAGCGAAATCTAAAAACTGTAGCAAATCAAGCCAAAACTTCACTAGTCCAAGGAAAGGCAAGAAAGAACATAGAAATAACTGCAGAAAGAAACGTTTGGGGCAACTTGTTATACTGGCACTGCAGCATGAGCTTAGCCTAGAATGCATACTAAGTTACCCGCTTAGTCCTGTTCCTTGGGCTCTGGCAACTTCAGATGGAGCAATGATAAAAACTGACAAGGCTAAACTAATGCATTTCCTGGATCGGAGGACAAATCGCACCTGGCCCAGAGACCCACTGTGGGATTTCAATGCTACATAGGGAACCAATGGTTTCTCTTCCCAGCACGTTCGGAGAGCTAGCTGAGTATGTTTTTCAGCAACTACCCAGAGCGCAACGCGTTGACTTTGTAACAGACTCCTATCATCCCCTTTCGATAAAAGGATTAGAACGATCAAGAAGAGATTCTTCACAAGCACATCTAGTGAAAGGACCTTCTACTAAAGTTCCTCGTGATTGAAAAAAATTTCTTGCGCAATGAAAAAAACAAAAGGCGCTTGTGCAGCTTCCTCTTAGAGGAGTGGAAAAGGGAACATATACTTCGAAGTTGCAGGGAAACCATTTAGTTTTCGTTAATGAGAGGGAATGCATCAGCTTAAAAAGTATCGATCATGGAAAGAATGTAGTTACAGAGGAAGTTGAGAAGTTGTGCTCTTCACACGAGGAGGTCTTATACCAGAATAATCTTGCATTGTAACGATGTTGCTGCCAATTCACCAGAAAGCTTGGTTATACGAGCGAGAATATCCCCTGATACCGACGTGTTCATTTTACTTCTAAGATTTTGTACGTCATATAAACCAGACAGTGCTGTTTGAAACTGGAACAGGTGATAAGCGCCGACTTGTAAATATTCAAGCTGTTGCTAAAGATCTCGGAGATGAGATTAACCTGGCTCTTGTAGCTCTGCACGCATTTACTGGTTTCGATACGATCAGTGCTTTTGTGAGAAGAGGGAAAGTGAAGCCGCTCACACTCCTAAAAAAAAACAACTTGAGTTTCTTCCGGCGCTTCATGCTCTAGGATCGACAGTTGACATAGAAGACAGGGTATTTAAAGATCTTGAAAAGTTCACATGTCTGACGTACGGAAGCAAGTTGGGTGACATCATCTCTCCCAGATACGAAAAATTTATTGAGAGGTTCAGTGCAAAGCCAGGAGAGGAACTGACAAGCTACAACGGTGTTGACATGACACCTTGTTGAGAGAGTCTGAAAGTACATGTGAGAAGAGCAAATTATCAAGCGCTCATATGGAAGAAAGCTGATCAGGCAACACCAAGTATCCCGGGACCAGACGGGCATGGCTGGAACAATAGCGTCGAAGGTGAGAATAAGTGCCAATTATTATACCTACTAGTAACATTTTTAGCGACGGGTGTATCTACATGTGTGTTAATTATGACATTAGAAGTAGGTTGGATTACAAGTTTGGATGCAAGTCACTTACGGATAATAACCAGTGTCTTTTTTCTTCCTTTTTCCATTTGTTCTCTGCCCGGTGTTAAATTTACAGGGTTGAATTTACTGTTGTTTACAGGGCATAAAAGTAAAATGGAGGGTCACCAGATAATTGCACAAGGGAAACTCCAGATAAAACCTTTGGAGAATTTAATTTCGAGTAAAGTTATATGTTTCCGGAGATGTCGTTCCGCGAAAACTGCGTTTTGGCTTTCTTGCTTTTACTGCGGGATATTTTGGGGTTTTTCTACATTTTGCCCCAATACGTATCAACCGTTATCTACATGTAGTTTAGCCTGTCCCAGGCGTTCAGATAGTAGAGCGTGGCGGTCAGTCTGAACGCCTGGAACACTGAGAACATGCTACATGTAGTTTAATGACAGAATCAACGGCTGCGGACGTCTCTAGGAACTAACTTGGGTGTACATAAATTAAAATAAAGCACGATTTCGTGAAATTTATCCCGTTTTTCTCTTCTGAAGTAATGGATAAAAAGTCTAGTGCGATATCTAATCCTGAAAAAAAAAAGTGTAGAGATAACTTTTAACCCTTTGCAGTCAGTCAATTTTTGAGGAAAAAAGGGACTTTTTACTAAATCTCCTTTTGGAACCTCTTTTCGGCCAGTTAGCATGAGAAGGGCTAAAAAGGGATTTCCAACACTAAGGACATAATTTTCTACCGCATGCGCAGAAGCCAATTTTTTTTATTTTTGCGAATCTATTTCGATTTTGTTTCTCGCTGTCTTCTTTTATCCTTTGCCTTTCTCTTTCAATAGCCAGTGTTGCACTTCATTGTTCTTTTTTGGCTGGCTTATAATGAACTTAATCTGGATTTAATGAGGTCGTCTTTTGTGGTGGAATAAGCCCACTCAGGAGCCGGTTATCGTCCCCTGGCCCTCCAAAGGACCCTGACAATTTTCTGAGCCTCAGTAGGCGACAATATTGTTTGACACATTTTGCCCCAAAGGGCTTTTTTAATGTTTCAGACTTCAAAAACCTCCCCCACCCCCCTAGATGCAATGCTGTCCCGCAATGTTCAGACATTTTGTTAACTTCAATCATAAAGATGAAACTAGAACTTTCCCTCCTCCACCCTCTCCATGATGTGCTGCAGCTCGAGCCTCCTTTTTGGAAATAACAAGCAGGAGAGGATAAGGGCGTGGATTGTTGTCCGTAACTACTACATTTGGACTCCAGTGTCGCAATAAATTTATCGCCCATTCTGAATAACAATAGTATATTAATGTGTTAAAAATGGACAGTATTTCTAACAACGAGCATCCGTACAATGTCGGAGGAAAACACTTATAAATGTTTGTGAAATATCAAACAGGAATATCTTGCTAACATAACTCATCATTTGATTTTTCTAATCTTTTATTACCGTAATTATTGTTTATGTCGGACAATACTATCGGTTAATATTACTGTCAGTAGTCGTTTTTTTTTCAGTTCCTTTTTTCTCGTTTCAGTCTGGGTTATATTTGTCGCGGTTTGTCTCTAGTCGGTTAGACCAGGCTCTTAGGGTAGGACACCCCACATGCTCCGGAGGAATTAGTCCGTGGGCCAGAAAGTGAAACTCTCCCTCCCCTCGGGGATTTTTGCAGACATGTATCATTTCAAAGCTTCACCCAAGGGTATTTGAAAAATGCATGTTTGCACTTGATTGGTTGGTGGGCGTGGCTGTGCATTCTTTTCCTCAGCAAAGAGTCACAGGTTACCCACACCAAGAGGTGAGTTAACCTTTTCTGAAAGACTATTACCGACAAAAATAACACTCAAAGTTATTTAGGGAAAATTTTTTTTTAATCTCATATGTAAGTTAAAATTCTCTACTGCACATGTCACAAGTTTAATTTAGCCTTTACTTGGATACGTAACTAACACCTCTTACGACAGTTCTAATAAAAAAAAATCTCTCTAAAATGTCTAACCTACGTGAAATTTTGCTAGTTACTGGCCAATGAGAATGATGACTAATCCCTACTTTGCTGCTTATGCGATATTTTCAGGCCGAAGTGATGTCAACAGCACTTTGTAAGGTCCTCTAAAGTAAGCACGATAATTTTTCCACACTACTGTATTTAATTATTTTGTTCAAGCTTTTTATAGTACATTAGTTGTAACAAATTAAAAAACTTGTTAATCATTACGTTCATTTTATTCCAAGACGCATATCATACTTCTCTATTTGATATCCCATGAGGCACAGTCCACCTTTTTTCCTCTCCCACAATCCTTAGAGACGGAGATTCGGAAGAATAGGCCATTTGCACTAAGAGGTCATGTGACATGGTTTTTATGAAAAATGCAAGTTATATGATTTTGCCTTCGAAAAACGATTAGTAGGTCATATCTTAAACAAAATAATAGTGATTTGGTTTTTCAAACCCGCACCATTTTTTCGAAATGAGTAAGTCCGTAGCTGGTCACGTGACCAAAATGTGATTTTTAAAATCATGAATTACGTCTTTCTGAACACAAATTTTGCATTTAAACTTCAAGGAAAATGTTGAAAAGATGGTGTGGTAACGTTTACAGTACACCTGAGCGTAACTATCAAAAGTTTAGCAAGATATAAGCATAAAGTACTTCTGACCGCCATGTTGGAGGGCAAGAGTATGCCCTTCAACATGGTAGCCAATACAAATCATACTACTTTGTTGAAAAATCAAAGCACCATAAAAATATCTTCCTTAAATGCGTTTCCTCTCAAATTGCAGGTGTAAATAATTTTTATGTGCTCTGTCAATTTTTGGCATTAGCAAAATTCCAACTCATTGTTTAAAGGAAGCACTGGTCACGTGACCTCTTAGTGCAAGTGGCCTATTCAGTGATGTAATTGTACGTATGAGTAGTTTTCATCTTACCTGCGCATTCATGGGTTCCCTTGGAAAGAAAACGAGATGTTGTGGTTTCGAAGAAGTCCTAATCGAATCAGGGATCTGTGCAAGTGGATCGATAGAGCAAGTTTTGACAAGCAAACGTTATAACCGCGCTCTTCGTGTGCACAAGGTTGTCTACGAAGCTTTGGAACGAATTCTTCTTCAGGTCTACGAGTCGTTGCATGGTTGTCTTTTTGATAAGCAAGGGGTTACAACATTAGACAATCTAGCGAAGAACCCGTGCAAAGATAACCTCTTAGCATGTTTAGCAAGTGAAAGGTGTAACAAGTCCCTAGACCGTTATGGTAAATTCAAAAAAACTGTTCGGCAGGGCGCGCTTGGCAAGACAGCTCAGTTTTGGTTGAGCTACATGGAAAAGGTAGGCCTGATTCTACAGTTCCATCGAGCGACTAAAGAGAATTGCCTGACGCTTCACCTAGCAAGCCTCCAAAGAATGTGCAGCATGTTTTTCAGCTTTGATCACCAAAACTATGCAAGATACTGTGCATTCTACTTGTTGAATATGTTGAACCTGGAAAAACGCATCCAGGAGCAGAGGATCTGTTGAAGAATAACGGCTTTAGTGTTAACAGATCAGATCTTCCATCATCTAGAAATGCCGTTGACATAACCATTGAGCAAACAATTAACCGTCATGCGAAATCCCACAGCGGAATTGTTGGTTTTAGCCGGAACCGTGCTGCCTACTACGGATGGTGCCGCACTAGACATGCAAGAGCAAGCTATCTACAGGCA